GATAAATTTTGATGTCAATAATTGAAAGGCAAATATTATTAAAGTTGAACCTTGGTACTAAAACCACTCCATTTCTTTTTTAACATTGAAATACTTGGTTTATGTCGATTAAGTTATCCTAAGATTTGTCATACGATGCGTTATGGGCTTGATTTACGATGGTCTTAATACTTTGTTGAGACATATTTTGTGACGTTAAACCATGCTATCTTAGGATTGTCTAAACGTATATCGTGTAAGACCTTCATAAGCTGATGTTATGCTTGTAAATAAATATCTTATAAATAAACTCACCATAGATACCTGGATTAAAATTTCGCACGCCAGACGCACGCTTCGTCTACAAAAGACTACATCATTCACGCTCAAATCCAAAAAGTTAAAAAGTCTTATAAAGTACAAAGTTGAAGAACATTGATGACTACAATTTCCGAAAGGTGTTGCCAAATACAAAACGTTTTAACAAAAATACCAAACTCATTATACGCGGCGGATATATCGCCCTAAAGCAGTATATCGACACCAGACTACGTCTTCAGTCGATATACTTCTTTCAGGTCGATATATCCTCATATCGACCTCATACAAAGGGTATAATTGTAAAATATCAAGTGATACTAAAATATTCTAGAATTATTCATTTCTATATAGTAGAACAAGGGATTGCTTTACAGTATACCACTAACATGATTTATGAACATAAAACAGTAACACATATATGGAAATTAAGATAATCTCCCTTAAGTACAACTAGTCTTTAGTTTCGTATGTAGTGTTTTGGTGGGGTTAGTGTTGTCCAGTTTTTAGTTTCCTATGTAGTGTTTTGTGGACTTGTTTGTCATTTCTCCGTCTATGGTCATGGCGTTGTCAGTTTTTCTTCGACTAATAAGTTTTGAATGTCCCCTTGGTACCCTCCGTCTCTTTTTTCACGGATTTATACATTCATTCCACTATTTGTTAACATATAAATTCATCTTCATATCAAATGCAGTCCACGTAGAAGTAATAAAATATAAAAACAGCATAATCCAATAGCCGTTCCTGCAACCGTGACTAGTATTCCTAAGATATACTGCAACATTGTTAAACTTTATAGTTTTCTAATGTCATGTATAAACATTACATATACATACAAATAGTTATAATTAGCATTTTATAATATGATCGTCATATAAATAGATAGACAATCGTTTTTTTTTTTAATCATCACACCTTAAAAGAGTATTTATAAATAATATAATGGATAATACATTCAACGATGATATAAAATTACATGTTGGGTAAAGCTTTCAAAATATTTTAAATAATACATAAATTTAGAAGGATTAAATATCTTATATATACACACATTGATATGATTCGAGAAAGACAATCATGACTGATTTAATTGAAACAATAATGTAAAGATGATAACACAGTCTTCACATGTCTAATATTTAATAGCGTTTTATTTATGTTTAATTATTTCAGTCATTTTTACACAATACAATTCATTAAATACTGGTGCATGTTGAGAAGTGGCGAGCGCATGTATGACTTCCATTCTATCTTGACATTTTTCCAGTTTTATGGTATTGTTATTGATGGTCGTGCTTAATGTTTTTTAACATCCAGAGGTGGCACTTGTTTTTCCATGGGTTGGAGTGAGTTATTCATTTCCCAAAGCGTCTGAATACCATCTTGAGATGCTGGGTCGTTTTCTATGACAATATATGATAAAGAGTGAAAGTATATTGTTTACTCATTACAATAATAAAATTTAATTTGTGAACTTGCTTATAATAACTACAATAGCAAATACAATTTTTATTTTAATATATTTTACAGATCAGGTTACAACACTGAAAGAGGGACGAAAGATACCAGAGGGACAGTCAAACTCATAGGTCGAAAACAAACTGACAACGCCATGGCCAAAAATAAAAAGACAAACAGACAAATAATAGTACAGATGACACAACATAGAAAACCAAAGACTAAGCAACACGAACCCCACCAAAAACTGGGGGTGATCTCAGGTGCTCCGGAAGGGTAAGCAGATCCTGCTCCACATGTGGCACCCGTCGTGTTGCTTATGTTATTACAAATCAGGTAAATAGTCTAATTCGGTAAGTCACATTCGTGAAAAGGGAGGGTATTGTAGTTACGACATAAAAATGCAAATTTCGGAAGCTAGATTTTAATTAAGTGATACTTAGTCAAGACCATTGGTGAAATACTATTTCGTCTGGAATGCATGACTTTATTTCTGATAAAACGTTATAGAGAACATATATAAACATATCTATAAGGTACAACTATAACATTTATGTGTGAACAATACAATGAAATTGACTTTGAGGACAGACTTCTTGGAGGACAGACTTTCACATTTATAACTTTGATAAATTCACATATGTTTTCTAATATTACAATATTTTGGGAGTTATTTTTTTGATATTATGGTTTGACAATAATCCTGTGGTAAAATTTTTTTTTTCTTTCTAACTCAAATGTTCTACAATTTCGTAATGTAATGTACTCGTCACCAATGTCGTTTGAGTCACAGAGACGTGTCTGTCTTCTCTCGGTAAACCCTGCCACCTTCCAGACTCAATCGGCAGATGGTGACTACCACATCTGTATTTACTAAATATTTAAATGAAATTACTGGATAAAAGTAAAGGTTTCATTCGACAAGTGCCTAGAAATTGTGATTCAACGCGTTGTTGGTTATAAAAAGAGCCCTTTGAAATTTATTGACATACGCTCACCATTAAATGTGAATTCAAAATGAAACAATAACGTGGAATTTCCTACTAGAAAAATCATGGATCATATCAAATCATAAACATAAATATGAGAATTTATATATTTATATCTATTTACCGAAATGCTATGATAATAAGAAAAAAAATGTTAAACAAAGTATGAACAAAAATACCAAATTTTAAGTTAATTTCAAAAAGGGGAAATCAATCAAAACTTACAAATTAAATGTTTGGGAGTTAACCATAGGAACGAACGGAAAACTTCCTAACTTGGTACATCCATTTTCCGAAGAAAATGATGGATTAAACCTGGATTTGTAGCGAGCTAAACCTCCCTTCTGTGTGACATTCGGACTTTTATTTAGTTTGTGAGTTAATCGCCCCAGTTTACCATCAATAAACAATGTGTTTAATTCATTTAATTCTTACCGCAAACATACAACTGTTGATAAACGTTTTATTTTCATTGACATTTATTTACCGTAAATCAACAGTTGACATATCGTAACTAAGGCGTGAACTGCCATATTGACTGGCTGAAATCCATAAATGTTCGATTAGTGCAATAAAATCGAAAACGAAACAACACATAGAAAATATGTATCTAATCCTATAATATTTACATGCATATTGAATTAAATGTAAACATTACACGCATTTGAAAGCAATGTCAATATCTGCTAAAACTTCACTTTGACAATTTTCTTTTGTTTTAAGTTTTTATTCCGATGCTTATGAATGTCAAAATACATTTAAAGAACCAATTAAATATAGTGGGTGGGCGGTAATCTTTAGCTTCAACTGTACCGGCTACCGAAAGTACTCGATTCCCCAAGTCTATTTCAATAATAAACACAATCAGTAGTTATATTTCCTCGGGTTTATACTTTTTTTGGAAGTTAGGCACCTAAGGGAAGGCCACCCCTCCAGAAAAACCAGTTTTATCCGATTTCAATTTTCAGGTTCATATTTGAGCTCAAAATGCACCATAAACCTGCGAAAAAGGACAACAAATAGCCTTAGGTTGGAAAAACATGCATCAACTTCGAAATTAATGTCATACAGTTGACCTCTGAAAGTATGGAGAGCAATTTGAGCCCAAAAACGGTATTTTGGGTAGAGGCCGTAATATTACGGCCACCGCATGGTAAGGGATACTTCCTAATTAACATTTTTACAAAATGTTTAGACAAGGAAAGATTTATAGATAGATATGCTGCATGCGTGGGCACTTATGAATTGTCTACTGTTGGAAATAGAACGATTAATTCGATACCTATGCTGTAGATTTTTTCCAAGAAAAAAAATCAGCATGTGTGATTGATGTTTTGCTACCTTCGGTTCATGCTGTCTCATTCACGTAAACCTCAAAAGAGTCCATTTATTCATATGAATGTAACTTTAACCATCCAAAGTCCTGTCCTTTTTATTTGTAACCGTCAAAATCTTAATTAAACAATTGTTGAAAAAAGAACAGTTTTGCATAATTCAGTTTATCTGTCCAGATTTTAGTTTCAGAATACACGAGTGCCTTGTACATAATTAGAAAATTTTTATTCTGGATCCTTGAAAGCACACATCTGTATAGAAACATGAACAACAACATTAAAATTTCTAAAGAAAGCAAAATTCATTAAAAAAATTTCTGATTCATACCTTATCAACATTTTTGTTTTTACTTTATCAAGAAAGTGTATACTATATACGGTATGTACTATCAATGACAAAAAAAAAATTGGTTGGTGACGTCGATGTCTGATTTACGTCACTGATGATTCTTTTGTAGATTAACCGCGCGTCTGGCGTACAAAACTTTGGTCTTGGCATGTATGATGAAAAATTACTATTTACTATGCCTTCTTTTGCGTCATTGTTAGATTAATTTGTTATGTTTGTATGAATTGTTTTAGTCGGTTGTGTTATATGTCTGTCACAGTGATGAATGTTTGCACAGTTTTGACTGCTGGATTCGTATTATTGTCATATTAACCTTTTATGTCTGTTTGGGTTTCTTACCCAATTTTGTCGATATAACGGAACTATAAACAAGTGGAAGGTTAGGCTAACTATAAAACCAGGTTTAACCCACCATTTTAATAAGAAAAAAACCTGTACCAAGTCAGGAATATGGCAGTTTGTTTCGCTTGTTCAGTTTATTTACAGCGTTTGATTTTGTCAGATGTTTTATGGACTTCTCCTTTTAGAACTTGCCTTTTTGTAATTACCTGGATTTTCAGTGTTATCCTTTGATCCATTCTGTACTTTTGATTTTTGCCATGGGAACGGTTTTTTCTTATATTTATGATAACATATATATCCACCAATAGCACACGCTATTAAAATGATAAGTGCAACTACTACGCCAGCTATAATTCCAACATTACATGGGGACGCCGGAGCAGCTGAGGTAGATTCTGTACAAATGAAAAACAGTTATATCTAAATAGATTTAAAAAAATGGTTAAAATCAATTATTTAAAACAGTGGGTTTATTACTATAACAATAGGGTTTACAAATTTTCTAAATGCATCCGTTTAAATGAAGGACATAATGTGCTTAAAAACCATTGTTCAAGTAATATATGTTTATAATATTTTATTTTGAATGTGCCAATTTATAAATTGGTATTTGTTATGGTTTTTCTACAATCTATTAAAACTTTCAATTTATTCATATAAAATTTTATGAAAATAAAACAAAAATAATATATTACTTACGACATGTGTCTGAAAAAGAAACAAACACATAAGTAAATAAGTTTCAATAATGAAATGAAACCTAATCACACATATAATACTGCGTGTATTATGATAAGTCACCCTTGTTCGATACCTACGATGATAGAGAAGGGATAAGGTGGGCTGCGCAATCGTAGGTGGTGTTGCCATAAAAGCCAAAGTAAAAGGTTCAGGTTTCAGTGAGGAAGTAAAGAAAAAAATCTGTTTCAACTCTGTTAGGTTGAATTTTTGAATTGTTTGGCACTATTTTGTATAAAAAAGTCTTAAGGTTTGCGCAAATTGTTAGATTTTATAAAAAAAATGATTCTTGTCTCCGTAATATAGCCTATTCTAGACGATCGCTGATTGGTATGAATCGCTTCCTTTATTATTTAAAGAAAAGTATTCCGACAAATAGTCAATTTCCATAGTCCATAGCGATCTTCATGACAACTTAATGAAATTTGCCAATATTGAGAATGTTTCATTTGACAAATATTTCGGTTCTACAAATGGTATTCTTCAGTCAAATATATGTCAAATGAAAGACATAAATATGTTTGTAAACATATTACGCCCATTATTCTTTCAGTTAAAATTGAGAATAGAAATGGGGAATATGTCAAAGAGACAACAACCCGACCAAAGAGCAGACAACAGCCGAAGGCCACTAATGGGTCTTCAATGCAGCCATAAAATCCCGCACCCGGAGGTGGTCCTCAGATGGCCCATAAATAAAATTGTGTGCTAGTTCAGTGAAAATGGACGTCACACTAAGCTCCAAAACATATAAATTAACTAAAATTAAAAAACATACTAGACTAACAAAGGCCAGAGGCTCCTGACTTGGGACAGGCGCAAAAATGCGGCGGGGTTAAACATGTTTTGTGAGATCTCAACCCTCCCCTATACCTCTAGCCAATGTAGAATAAAGAAACACATAGCAATACGAACAGTAAAACTCAGTTTAAAAGAAGTCCGATGTCAGAATAGGTAACAAAAGAAACTAAGCAAAATGACAATGATACATAAATGAAAAAAGGACTACTAGCAGTTACTGACATACCAGCTCCAGACCTCAATTAAACTGATTGAAAGATTATGTCTTCATCATATGAAAATCAAGTGCAATCCCTCCCGTTAGGGGTTAAGTATCATACCATTATAAAATATATGAGAAGAACATAACCCGTATCATGCCAACAACTGGTTTTAGAATAAATGTGTTTATTTCCGATGCAAAGACCCTATCAGTGAATCAATATTAATACCAAAATATGCAATCCTTAATGACTTGACAACAGTATCGTAACTATATCCTTTCCGAATAAGTCTGTTTAAAGGTTTGGTTAGCTTTTGAGGTGAATGCCGACATTTATATGCTTTGTAAAGAATATTACCATAAAATATTGGATGTGAAATACCTGAACGTATAAGATGTCTGCATGTTGATTTATATTTACGAATGATGTCCTTGTACCGATGATAAAATTTAGTAAATGTTTTGACTAGTTTGTGATATCGAAAACCCTGGTGAAATAATATTTCAGTAATACAGAGATTTCTTTCGTTGAAATCAAATACGTTATTACATACACGAGCGAATCGAACACGTTGAGATATATAAATACCATAAGGGAACGTCACCATCTAAAAATGGATAATTAACAATAGGAAATGAAAAATCATCTCTTTTATCATAAATTTTGGTATTAAGCTTCCAGTTTAAGATAAAGATATCAAGATCCAGGAAAGGGCAGTGTTCATTGTTAGAATGAGCTTTATTTAAAGTCAGTTCGGCAGGATAAATCTCTTTAGTGTACATACTAAAGTCGTCATTATTGAGAGCCAATATATCATCTAAATATCTAAAAGTGTTATTAAATTTTTGAATCAGATGTTGTTTCGATGGGTCTTTGCTGATTTTAGTCATAAATTGTAACTCATAACAATACTGAAACAGGTCCGCAATAAGTGTTGCACAGTTAGTCCCCATGGGAATTCCGATAACCTGACGATATACGGAATCTCCATGGCGAACAAAAATATTATCTAGTAAAAATTCAAGGGCAGTTATAGTATCAAAGCAGGTCCAATTGACACGGTTCTTTTGTTTGTTGTTACTAAAAAATGACCTAAAAGAGTTTGAGCATATATATTCGCATTCCGACTTTTTAAATGCCCCATTTAATCAGGTGTGTGAATTTTTTCTTAATAAGACTATGAGGCAACGTGGTATATAGGGTAGAAAAATCAAAACTTTAAACAGATTCGAAATCACCAATATAAGCATGCAATTTATCAAGTACTTCCAACGAATTTTTGACACTCCAAAAGTAATTAATTTCACTATTTTCAAATGCCTTATTTGAACAATTTTTACCAGGTTTTTTATTGTACCAAGTGTACTAGCAAGTAGAATAGATAGTTTAGTAATGGAATAATGGCTTGAAGACGAAATAAATCTATATTTGTATGGAGTTTTATGCAGCTTCGGAAGCCAGAACGTAGTTGGAACTTTCATTGTATTTGGTTCTGCTTGTAAAGAGGTAGCTAAAAGTTTATGTTTGTTACAGATGTCCTTTTCCGAAAATGGAGTCAGTTGGAATGTTGGTGAATTCGTGATTTCCTTTTGTAGAACATCAATGTTAAATTTACGTCAAACAATAATGATATTGTTAGCAGCCTTATCAGCCGGGACAAAAATATATTCCTGGGCGAGTTCTTTTAGCTTATGTTTGATACGGGAAATTGGGCTATTATGGTTGTTGTTAGGAGTAAAATAATCTATAAAATGTTGAATACGTATATCAACTATGTTCATTACCGAACTAAAAAAAGAATCTAATGATTTCTTGTCAGCTTTTTCTCGTGTTATCCATTTAGAGCAGTAAGTACGGAGTGAGTCGTGGATGATGTTACGACACTCATTCCAATTAATAATTGACGGGGGACGATATTTAGGTCCTTTACTGAGGAATGATTTCAACTCTCGGTCACGAACGATGTTAAGGTCTCCTGTTATAACATCAAGTTGTCCATCAAGATGGTGTATTAGTAAAGCTGACATTGGTCCTTTTTGGGATGTTTCATCAAAATCAGAAAAAAGATCATAATTTTCATATCGACTATTTATCTATATTCTTAATGCTTTGGTCGAGGGTATAATATTTACTATTTGATCAAGAATATGAATAATTTTCAATGAAAAATAGTATAGGAGTCAATGAGGAGAAGGATCTGCTTACCCTTCAAGAGCATCTGAGATCAACCCTGGTTTTTAGTTTGGTTCATGTTGATTAGTGTTTTTTTTTCTATGAAGTGTTTAGGGAACTTGATTGACTTTTCATCGTCTTTGATTTTTGCCATGGCGTTGATAATTTATTTCGACTTATGTATTTTGCGTGTTCCCTAGTGTTTTGTAAGATGTATGTACAAGTTTTCCGTGTTCCCTAGTTTTTTGTAAGATGTATGTACAAGAAATATATCGGTAAAACTAAAACGGTTGAAAAGAGAACGGGAAAATCCTAGGAAAATAACCAAAAACCTTTTAAATCCAACTATATATGTTGACTACGAAAATGAAAAAAGCCCACCGTAAGCTGATAAAGATATTAAAAGACTTGCTGCGTCTGACGTCCTTGATGTGGCTATCTGTCCTTTTTCACAGCTTCCAGGATTTGAGCTGACTGATGAACCTGATACAGCCTAAATTTGTTTTACAGAAAACATGTACAGAACACAGTTTTAAACATATCTAGTCAGAAGTTTTCAACATTATAAATATCCATGAAACAGGTTGATTTTCCTTTTTAACCTACAAGAGTCATGGCTTAACAAGAGAAAATAACATGACTTTAAAACGTACCATACTAGTTATAAAAAAAATCAGTGTACAGTATAGATTTTTCGAAGCTTGCACTGAATATTTAGATAGGATGACTTTTGACACATGGTCAAATTTTTGGTTATTGCTGACAAAGCTGGAAATATTTTAAATGTGTTGTTAGTTTACAAATTAAATGGATTGTAATTATATATTTACCAAGCAAGTGAATCTTGTACTCGTCGTTGAATCCCCATTGATAATAATAACATAACTGGTAGAACCGGAAGTGACGTATTTTGTAGCGTAAAACTCGCCATTGGCTGCAATAAAAACCAATATTGTGTTGTCACTCAAATTCCATGAACAATAGGTAAATCGACAATTATAGCAGGAACTGTCTTGTATGCATCGTTTCGTGTTGGTTTTATTTTTGCAGACTAATTTTTTTATGTTGTCTTTTTACCATATGTTTACCCCTTTATCTTCGACTTTAAAAAAATCTTTCAGTATCCATGGTATCTTTTTTTCAATTAAAGTAACTTTACTAAAGCCATATAGTATATGAACATTTTATATACAAACACAGCGTGTTTTTTAAAATATAATCTAAACATTCATGGATAAGATGACATTAAAAACAACTTACAAAGTGCCAACAGTGGTCAATAGTACTTAAATCCTAGACTTCTACATTATGAAGATATATTTCTACTTCACAAAAAGAATTTATAATGCACACTGTATTGAAACTTATAAATCCTTTTAAGAAATGTTCATCGAAGCTTAGTAAGAACATAACATTAACAACGTGCTTTGTTTGGCGTTCGTGTGTTTACTTTATAAAAAAATGCTATGTTTGAATTTATTATCGGCCTACAAAATCTACCAATAAATTAATTTTTTTTGGAAACATTTAACAATCAAACACAAAACGGATATAATATGTGAAAACTACGCAAAAAAGAGACTGAAAAATCGAATTTACTGTAAAGGATGTAACAATACAAATCCTGAACAAAAACAAATAAATTCAACAACTAATTATAACAATATGAAAAAAACAAGTAAGAATCAAGGAGAAATAGCATAATAATACAGAGTAGAAATAATCAGCAAATATGTCTGTTCCAGGTCTACCGTGCTATGGGTTTGTTTGACTCATTAGTGTGCTCCAAACATTTCATTAAATGCATAGGGAAACACCATAAACAGTATATATGACAAGGAAATTACCACATATGGCAGTGGTAAAAAAATCGAATCTTAAAACAAGCTCTTTTAACAACGGCTAATATGAGCTAAAAAAATGACGTTTCAGACTTGCTGCAGAAGGATACCATGAGACCACATTTACATTCACATTTCGAAGCCAATGCAATTACTTAACACTTTTCAAGAATATCAATCGACATCGCATTTAGTTAATTTTTGCCAGAACAAGTTTGCAACGTGCAATTGCATAATTTATGAACTGAAAATTAACCGTTATAATGAAATCGTTATACGTAAGTTCATTTAGTAATTTCAAAATGAGAAATTGTTTATATTATGAACTGTTTGTATTATGAACGACAATAAGTATTAATCCAAAAAAAATATACATACTTGAGCCAAACATTTGTGTACTACATAGTGTATATTTAAATGAAATTGTTGTCCTTATTGTGCAAGCATCCCATACAGAACCAGTACCACAAATACCGGAGGTCGAGGCATCTGTAACTGTGTATGCGTATACTCCTACCAGCGCATCAGGTAACACTTGCTTTACCTCGGCCTGCTGATCTAAAAAAAAACATTGACAAAGTACCGAACGTGACCTATTCCCGAATATGACTGTTTTACTGAGTGTTAATTCACATTGCTATAAGATGTGTCTCGGTATTTGTTCATCCAGCGTTCATGTATTTAATTACGAAGTTTTATTTGTAATTCTGATCGGATATTGTTTTGTGTCTTATCGTTTGTAGTTGTGATTCACTTTTAATTTCTATTCGTATGTAAAAGTAAAGATAATTAATCACCCAGTTCATTTGTATGATTTTAGTTTAAAGCAACTATGTGCACAGGATTTATTTGTTTTACACAGTTTGATTTGGAAGAAAGGCCGACATAGTTAGTTGCACTATTACTAACACAATTCTATATTAATATTCTTGTAATTGTTGTAAAATACACCAAATAACATAATAAGAAACTTAATCTTGATATATATACAATTTTTAGAAATTTACCTGTGACGTTACTTTTTGTGGCGTTGATCCATTCGTGTTACAGACACACACTTCGTAATTCTATTAAGCTGTTTTTGTGTACTGCCCTAAATTATTTAAGTTATGCATTGTTGTTCTGTGGTTTACATGTCGAAATGTACTATTATATTATTTATTTATGTATTTCTCTGTCTTTGGTGTTTTTGCATTTATTTGTACTCTGTTCCCGTCTTGTAATGTTGTCATTTAAGCGGTATATTTTACATTGCCATAAAGCGCGGAGGTTTGGCTAGCCACAAAACCAGTTTCAACCCACCATTTTTTGTTAAAATGTCCTGTACCAAGTCAGGAATATGGCAGTTGTTTTTTAATAGTTCGTTTCTATGAATGTTGCATTGTTGTTTGTTTTTTGTTGCACTTCTGTGTTCTGTTATTTCGTTGTTTTCCTCTTACAGTTGATGTGTTTCCCTCGGTTTTAGTTTGTAACCCGGATTTGTTTTCTCTCAATCGATTTATGACTTTTGAACAGCGGTATACTACTGTTGCCTTTATTGAAACTTTCAATGACTTAATGTCAGATAAGTACAATTTTTAGGATGGACTGCCGCCTTAAATATAGTGGAGACCACAGGTAATTTTTTTTATCAGTGTGCAATCTTAATCTTTTCTACATTAAGGGTATTTTTAACACTTTAATCTATCGTTGAAAAAAACCTTTAAAATCTTGTCATATAAATAAATCCACGGTATTTAATTGATACTTGACCGAATGTCAAACAATGTTCATTGATGAGGAAAACGAGGTTTCATTATGTTACATAGATGTAGAAGGGAAATCCCATTACTCCTGTGAATATTGATAAATAAAATGAAGGTATTGTTAGATCAACATAACTTTAGGACAAGCAGGATTACTAAAAATAAAAGACGTTTGTATCGTTTCATTGGTTTGAAAAAGTCTATGACCTCCGCAGTCAACGACCAAGAGAATAACATCAAGATAACTGACTGAATGAATATAAAGGATAAACTTACTCTCTTTCACTAAAACGTGGAATTCCTCAGCACTTGGTCCGGAGGTTGGATTACAGACTGAACTAATTGTAACACCAGCATTTGCAACAGATTCTTCAACAAATGACATTCTCACACTGCCAACGTCAGGTTCTACATCTAGTAGTAGATATATATATATATATAGCTTTAAACTGATATAAACAAAAGAACATGTGTTTCTTCGTTTGCATCGTATGCTTCATCGATAAAGTAAAAATGATATTTTAAAGTACATTCACACTTTTGTGATACATAACAATATAGAAATGTTAAATTGATTTTTCAAAGATCGTGTTTTATAATTTTTTTTTTTGTAAGCCATTTGTCATCTAAATGAACCTTTTTTGTTTAATTTTAGTTACATATAATCATTTTTCTGCTGACATATAGTCAATGCAATTACATGCAATATTATGTTTTATTATTTATTGTACCGATCACGTATACAAAAACAGTGTGAAAATACGATGGAAAAGAATTGACAAATAGGAGATCTATATTTTGGATAATGATTTTAGGATGAAGCGATTTTACAGATCTGATCAAGGAGTTTCGAGATGAGGAAGAAAATTGTAATTGCTTCCTAACAGTGTTTCTCCATTTTGTGTATTTTCACGAGACAATATTATTTGATATATAAGGACAAACTCAGAACATCTTTATTAAGTAAAACATAAAATCAAAGGTCTAAGGTACTAATTCCAATGTTCATTGTTACGGTCGCTGCTATTTAAAGATATATATTTTCACGATTACAGTTAATGTTGATCCGAAAAGTATTTCGATTAAAAGGTATCGTCTTCTTATCTCAAAAGTTCTCTTATTCAATATCGATTTTTAACATGTCCTGCTGACTAATTGACTCGGTGTTGACGTCGGATTTAGGTAGAATTTTCTTTCCGTCCACTGATTTTATTTCAAAGTCAGAAAAGTAAGCGATACTTTTACAAACTAGTTTAAAGATAAAAATTTATTTCTATAAATTCATAAAAGAGACGTTTCAACACTGCTTCTCGTATAAACAATGTTCCCCAGATATTTAAGACAAAAGGCAAGCCTTTCATTTTGAAATTTCAAAATTTGAGTGTCAGTAGAGAAGAAGTATCGTATCTCACTCAATGAAGTGGTAGAAGCAAAAACCATACAATGAGTTTCCATAGAAGAGGGAAATCGCATCTTACTGAATGAAGTGGTAGAAACAAACACCATAAGAATTAGAAAGAAATATCCATTATTAAATGAAAAGGCACGAATACATAGTTCGGAAAACTTTAAACAGATAAAAAGATTGAAGAGTACATATAACATTACAAGAAAAAAACTCAGATGTCTGTCGGTAATTAAAATAAGAAACGCGAAAACTTCTAAGCACAGGGTACAATATTTTATACTCACTGGAATCAAGATAATAATAGTAACTAAAGTCGGTTATTTTTGTATATCTCACACAATAAAATCCGTAGTAACTAGGTCCATAAGCTACTTCACTGTTGACACTCCTGGAAGCATAATTCAAACATCATTACGATTAAGACAAAACGTTACAAACACATTCGAATAAGTAATTATACTATGATTTTAACTCGAAAGTATTGTGGAAATGAACAATGATTTTTGCTAATAAAAAAGAGCTGTATAATCAAATTGATCAACGATCGATTTCAAGATTAAATATACTAGACGCGGACCAATGATAAACTTTATAAAAATTATTTGGATTTTTCTATTGTTGAATAACGTATGTCAACCTCCAGACGAATTTTTAGTATTGTGTGATTAAGTTAAAATCGTGTTCAAATCTCTCCGACATTTTCGTTCTTTAAACGGAAACGATTTCATTAAATATTGATATGATAACAGCAACAACTAAAAAGGGATGACACCAAATAATAATATTAAATAAAAACAACTACAACTTAAATTGGATATTGCTTGCACACTAACAATTGTTATGTAGAATCAGTTCAGTAACAATGGCATATTTGTACTTTCATTTGGCATTCAAACTGCTTTTTGTGTGTCATAATCATTAATATGATGTCATAAGTTAACAAAGTCCATAATTTGAAATGAATAAAAAAACATACTGAACATTAAATATGAGACGTATCATCGATACAAGGCATACAGTTTTGTACGCCAGACGCGCGTTTCGTCTACAAAAGACAATGTGCGAATCAAAAAGTTAAAAAGGCCAAATAAAGTATGAAGTTTAAGAAGCTTGAGTACCCTATGGGATACTGATATTTGTTAACTGTTGGTTCAAAAGGAAACAGACGGAAATAAACGTCGAATTTGCTATTTGATGTTTGAAATAAGTAGAAATGTTTTGTATACATTCATGTTTGATCTACTTATTCATTAGAGAATAATGAGATCTACGACATTGTACAAGGTGTGCTGTTTTTCAGGTTTACAAGATGAGTGTTTTAATATTTTAAAAACAAAATGTGCTATTTTTGATGAATTTTTGTTTCTACAAAGGAGCGGATATTAAGATGCAGTATTAAGTCGAGAAAAACAGACAACACCATGGCTTTAAATTTGACCAGAATTATCTCTTGTCTTACTTTACAACTTTTAATCGCTCTTCGACTTCGTTAATGCGTTAGCCAAGGCTCCGTGTTGAAGACCGTACTGTGACCTATAATGGTTTACTTTTATAAATTTTGACTTGGATGGAGAGTTGTCTCATTGGCACTCATACCACATCTTCTTATATCTATAGACCTATTTTCTTTTTTGAGTCACTGATACGTATTATGCAGAAAATTCAAAAAACGCGTTTTAAATCATAACCCTTGAATATTCGATGATTATTTCTCCTTAAACATTAATTTTATAATTAAGTAGTACTTGTTGATTCTCTATTTTAATGCATACACATGTAGTAGAATATTAAAGTTTGTTAATGAAACATAATTTTAACAATAGCTGGGAGTTGGCACTGAAGCAATATGATTTTTTTTAAGTACATTTATACGATATCGGAATTCAGATAAATAAACAAAATTAGTTCTCATCTTTGGTTAAAATTTTAAAGGAATATAAAATCGACATAACATTGTTCAGGTTTCCACTTTTGTAAGTGTCGTGGATCCCATAAATGAATTATCAACACCTTATTCCCTATCAAGAAATGATGATATGATGTAATTTTCAAAAAAAGTACCTATCTTGTTTGAGGCTTTGTTAACGGGACAACCAGATTTTGGTCATTCAGATAGGGCAAGTGCTTTTCAAAAATGTAAATTATCTGTTTATGTTATTGTATAAACTTATATTAGCAAATCCAAAAACCTCTACAAAATAAGCTGCAATATAATGCAAAAACAAAGGATATATTACTGCATTTGAATAAAAGACTTTGAATAGAGTTCTATTGTTATTTTATAATGATGTGTATTTACAGTTGTTGTGACATCATCACTTGTCTGTTATACCTTTTTTTAATTTGACTTTATTGAAGGCTTTAGAGTGACGGTTGACAGTTGCGTACCCTTTTGATATTAATTGATTATAGGAAACACGCGAAAATGTCCCAGATTTCTGATAAACGGCGATAAAACTTGAAAATTGTGGAGAAGAAAGAGACAACATTATTCATGTAAAGGAATGATTCACAAAAGAAGTTGATTTGTGGTTATTTATGTGATGAAATTATGCAAATTGTTATGTTTTGTTAACTCATAATTCATTTTATTTGATATAATTTGTATTTCTAATTGATTTCAAATAAAAGTGGCCATAATGCGGCCCTGTCTTACTCGGCGCTTCCTTTAGAAAATCCTTCTTTGTCAAAATTGTAAGCAATAATAAATAGTGCAGCTTAGTGTTCTGCCATTTACACAACATTTAACCCCCATTTTAGTATAATATGAGGACGAAAACAAAACACGCATCAGTGACGCTCGAATCAAAACTGTTAAAAAGGCAAAATAAAGAACGAAAATGGAACGACTCTTTTGAATTCCATCTGTTTGTTTAAATAAAAAAAATGTTTTTAATTCTGTTTAAATATACGATTTTGTTCGAAAGAAAATGTAAAACGAGTTCCATGCTCACCTGACAAACAATACAGAATGTTGTAGAAACTGATTTAAAACACGCTGATGTGTCTATCTTCTCCGATTTCATGTACTCTTTATTAAAATTTGATTTAATAATACTTGAATAAGATCCGAAAAAAAAATCTATCTGAAGGACGCGTTTACACATATGATGACATAATACCATGACCAATATTGGTGGCGATTCCGTTGTTAATCTTTATGTCAACATAAATATTACGCAAGAAATTTGGTAAACCTAGTTATTTTATTTTCAGACTTCAATCATTAAGACTATGATATTATAAGTTATCTACGTTCATATCCGTAGATATGGATATTTTAACACCCTGAAGTATCCAAGTACACCCTGAAGCGCAGCCGAAAGGTGTACAGGGTACTGAAGGGTGTTAAAATATCCATATGTACGGATATGATCGTAGATAACGAATTTATTCCCGGTCTTAGTCTAAATCTGGCGATTTTTAGAGAAATTCGACCACAAAGTTTAACGTGAAAGCAACGTTTTTTTTCATTTTTTAAAAAATCTTTTATTGAAATCTGGGAATTTGACATATTTTTAACGGGGTGTAGGGTACTACCTTTGGTAGAACCCTACAGGTAGACAAATATAAGACGTTTTTAAACTAGAGACAGAGAAACTGAAATGGGTCGAATTTGGCGCGCAATGTTGTGAGAGTTACATCATAAACGGTGTGACGTCAACGTGGGACATTTGCATAGCTAGGTCAGTAGTACCAATCATTGACAATGTGGCTGCATAGCGATGCATCTACTAAAATGAGTGCAAATGAACGATGTAATAAGATAAAAACGTTAGTGGATTACGTATTTAATTATACAGACATCATGGAAAATCTACAGAATTCTATATTTCATAAGGAACAACCATGGAACTAAGGAAAACGCGCGTGAAATTCCCCGATCTAATGGGTAGCAACGTCCGGGGATATGGGTTAGCAACACCCAGGGGTTATGGGTTTTGTAACGACGTGCGTTAACCAATCAAACTCCTAGAAATATACTAAGCCGGGGATAAATGGTATTTCCACTTTATATTTCTGGTAAATGTATATGATTCTTATATTGTCGATGCACAAAGTAAAACCGAATGATTTCCTTAGTAATACGAAGCAAAATAATTTATTTAATTTTGATAAAAGAGTAAGACTGTTTTATATGGCTAGCTAACAGACAGTCCTCGTTCGTTGGTAACACCTGCCTCATATCAAAGTTCAAATTATTCTCTTTTCTATATAATTTAGTGACTTACTGAAATAGCCAATGATTGCTGTCACTTTCAATACAGGTAAATTCAGACATTGTTTTGGAAAATAATTGGACATTCCATCCAGATGTTACTGTTAAGTTACTGTTTGAAAATACAACAGCGCCTTGTCTGCTGTCCCATATATTTCCATCCAACACCGTTGGCAGTGTGCATGCGCAGTCTGAAAGAAATAAGTTGACACTAATGAAAGTTATCCATTTGAGGTTGTATGGAGGGTGAACGGGCTATCAGTTTGGCGCCTCTAGTTTGTTAATGATTTATGAACCATTTAATCAATGCTTTTTCAATTTTAATATGTTGTTACTGATAAGAAAATTTAGTTCGATATTGACGATTTTCACTTTTGCGTTCAGGAGTTATGGTTGTTGATTGATTCGAAAATGACACTTTATGTCGTTTTCTTGCAACGACTTGTGCATTTCGCATTTTAACATTGTTTAACTGATGACATAGTTAAGGTCAATTTCGATATAGACGATTTTCACTTTTGCCGTTCATGGGTCAAAAATCATATAAAAATAAAAAGGCTAAAAGAAAGACTGTAACAACAATAACAAAACAGAAAACTGACAATTTAGCAACACAAACCCAATAAAAAAACTGGATGCTCCGGGTAAATAGGCAGTATACACGTACTTGCTACAGATGTGGCACCCATTGTGTTGCTCAGGAAAGTACAAATTAAGTGATAAGTGGCATTTGGTTATGTCACAATCGGGCAAATACGGACGGGGTTGTCGTTCCGACAAGTAAACATTACTGATTGCATGATCATCTGTAACAGATATTCTATAACGGTCAACTAAATCGTGATGACATAAAATTTTTAGTGAGATGATTTCAACTGGGAGATTTATACAAAAGAACGGCAGGTTTACAATTGAAAAAATTGAAATCATGTCTTTTGTCGATATTTTAAACAGCACTTTGGTTGCACTTTTAACCCTTATTAGAAAAATGACAAACTGCAATAATTTAGAATATTTTGTTGGTGTCCTATAAAAGGAGCGTTTACAAAATGTAATAACCATGGGGACGAAACTAAATCCTTCATCTATAAGCATTTTTAGATAGAACTCCACAGTCAGGGTTGTAATTTCGCATTTTGGACCAGGTGGATTTATCAAATATGAAAGCCAGTGAGCAAGAAAATTAATTATGGTTAGCTAAAGATTTATATAGCCTTCAAAGTGGGTTTATATGATCATCAAGATTGTGTAATGTATGTATTATTTTCCACCTTTTTGTCGCACGAACTTTGTGATTCAATTTCATTAAATAATGATGCAAAAGACACCCAATTTTTATTTGATCATATGAGAGTTTAGTGTAAATATTTTCAGAAAAGGTGTCAAACCAAATTAATTTTGTGGGGGAACATGTGACATTTTCATGCCCCTTTTTGTAATATTTTATGGTATATATTTATTAGTGGTAAATAAATGCCGAATATTGCCATGGATACACAAAACAGGAATTATATTTCACCATTTTTAACTGTTGAAAATCATATTTATGGAATATTCTGATTACATACATATGCACATGTATGACACACAGTTGGCTAAATGTATTAGAAACCCAGGACTAGAAGATGATTAAACATTTTATGTGTCAATTTTAATTTTATTTCCTAACTGTGGAGTGTTACCATATCAGAATTAAGACCTCAATGCTCTTCAACTTCGTTTTTAATTAGGCCCTTTAATATTTTTTTTTTTTTTTGTTCGAGCGTCACCGATGAGTATTTTGTAGACGAAACGCGCGTCTGGAGTATAAAATTTTAATCCTGGTATCTATGATGAGTTAATTTAATACACGTTAACACAAAAGTTTGATTCCATATGAACTGTTGCTATCTTTAATAGCTTTCTTTTCCGTTTATATTTTCTTCAATGAAATGGTATTGAAATGAACGATCAATGAAATGTATTCCTATCTATTAATTTTTTCATAAAATTTAAGCTTTTCCCTATGGGCATTTTTATTTCGACATATACCCCATATAATTTATTTTATCGTACTCCAAGACACCAATAAATTCATAAACCATTGGTTTATATGTAAATTCTTAAACCGTAACTTATGACAGAATGTGAAAGTCTGAAAAAGGCAAAGGTACTCAAGGGGCAATTAAACTCAGAAGGGGAAAAGATAAACAGAAAACAAATTGACCAAAGGGAATCGAGGAAAAGGCTATCAACATTGTCCAAAGCACTAAACAAGAAACTACTAAAGATTGAGCAATACCAACCTCATCCGATACCTGGCGTGAACCCAGATACGGAAGGGTCAGCAACTCTGGTTTCCTCTGCCAAAACAACTGACCGTCTTGCAATAACTCAAATGGTGTTGAAACCCCAATCAATGAAATCAAAGTGACCAACATGAAGTAACCCAAACGGTGTTGAAAACCCAATTAATAAAAACAGATATATTAATAAGTTTGTGTCCAATCTCTTATAGGTTAAGAGGACCCTCTTCCTGATGTGGATTTGAATCTAAACAGTATTCTCGTTACACATAATTCAATTTCAAAAGCCAATGTTTCCCATATGGAGTGCAGTTCTACAGTTGATTCAGTTCGAGGAGAAATTGTCATTATAAATCCAAGTCTGTAAAAGAACATATTAAACTTATAGAAACCAGTTTTCCTGATATTGACAGAAATAAAATTCATAATTATATGTTGTGCCGTCTACGGGATTATTGTCTCTTTTCAGCAGTGGAAAAACAAAATCAATAGGCATTAAAAGATAATTTGAACATTCATGGTTAACCACAAAAACACTTTCTTTTTGCTTTATGGAATTTCATATTTGTAGAGGGACAAGGAGTTCATTGTTTACTTTGTAAAAAACATAATATGAAAAATTCAAGAAATAAATCATCTGTATTTGCAGAAGAACCTAGTAAAAGAATTAAAAATATTGCTATGCAGTATCACATTGAGAGCAAGAAACATGAGACTGCAAAGTATGTATCATCATTAGAACAGATGATTACATACATTCAATATATTGACCTAGTTACTTAAACTATGCGATTTGATTTCCTTTGCACTGTAAATTTATTACACAACTCTGTGTCTGCTAATTCTGAAGCTTTATTCCCGGTATTAATTGAAAATCTAGAATCCATGAAGCTAGACATTAAACAGTTTCAGGATTGTGCACCGATAGAGCTAGTGTGATGCTCGGTAAAAAGGGAGGTGTTATGACAATTCACTTATTGCAACTCATTGTGTTTGCCATCGTCTCGACCTGGTCTATATTAACACAAATTCATCTCTGAAATATATTGGCAATGATGAAACCTACATGATACAAATGTGGAAGTTATTTCATTATTCGACTAAGAAGATGGCATGTTTTCTTAAACATCTTGAGGGTTACCGAAAATTAAACTTGAACACTTCTGTCACAATGTACAAAAATTCTTAAACGTGCATGTAAGACAAGGTGGTTAAGTTTTGAAGCCTCACACTACTGGAATAATGCCGCATAGATTAGCCATGAAAATGTCCGTAAAAATGCTGGTGATTTTTACAGTGTTTGTCACGGTTATTTAACGGTGGGCCGTGAAACTTATTCGTGACAATGCCGTAGAATGACTGTCGTGAAAAAGGCTGTGAAAAGTTTGTGAAAAGGCCGCGAAGAGGTGCCACCTGAAAACTTGGGTGAAAAGACCGTAGAAACCCTGTGAAAAAAAATGTACACCGTGAAAAAGTCGTGATAATGCATTATGTGCCCATTGTGAAAAGACCGTAAATGTAGATATAGTACAGTATATGCCTTTAGTTGTCGTGAAAAGGCCGTGAAAAGGTGCCAACTGAAAACTTGGGTAAAGAGACCGTAGAAACCCTGTGAAAAACAAAAATGTACACCGTGAAAAAGTCGTGATAAATTGTGTGCCCATTGTGAAAAGATCGTGAAATGTACATGTACTACTGTGATAAACAGCCATTCACTGATTGTGAAAACTCCTGTAGAATGTTAAATGTATTTTTCAGGCCATAATTTAACAAAAAAATTTAAATGCTGTTTCAATCAAGTGAAGTGAAATGCCTGAAAACCTAGTGTAAACATCTACAGACAACTTATTCAATTACAATGCAGGTGAGATTATGAAAAACCATATTAAAATGCTGTATTTTTTTTAGTAATAATTGTGACAAAGAATAAAAATATTAATTTTAATAGAACTGTAGTAATTATGTAAAGAAAACATAACAGCACACAAATGTCAATGTGATTAAGTAGCTAAAGTCACTAAAGTCAAATATGTATTGTAGAAATTTTGTACATCTCTTGGGTCTGATTTTACCACTTCAGCAATATTTGTCTAATGTAATCTTTCACTTCACTGCCCTTTTGAATAACTACTCACTGCCCTTTTGAATAACTATTCCAGAAAAATATTTATAGAAGTTCCTGTTAATTCCCAGGAAATACTTTTAATTGAAAAGCTCTTCTTTCCAACTGGATTCCTGAACTATTTTATATAAAGACTGCTATATCATTTTGCTCTTCATTCCTAGAATAAATAAAGAAACATTACATATATTATACATGTATATAAAAAAACTATTTATATATTCAAATTAATTTTTGGCATTTATGTACATACATGTACTTAAAACAGCTACAATATTATTCCATGCAATACAGGACTTCACGGTTAATGACACCCATATTGAATAGGGGCAGATTTTCATACTGGAGGTGAAAATGGTATGAAAATACTAAAAAACATCATTGAAACAGAACAGCCACTTGGAAACATGCATAGGTTTTCCGATATTTTCACACCATTTTCCAGAAAATCTGCCCCCTATCCAACATATATGGCATCATTAGTTAACGAAGTTCTGTATTGTCAACTCAAATTTTTTTTTTTAGATTGTTTCAAAGACTAAAGACACTTTTAAGACAGACTATTAAATTTAAATGTTTCTTTGAAGTAATAATATGTATGGCTATAGCCAAACTTGTCTAGACTTAGTGGCCGTAATGAGTCACAGCTATTTATTTTACAGGGGGCCAAGGGCGTAGCAACTTTTACTGCAGGCACATTCGCCATACCAATTATTTTTTAAACACCTCATTGCCACACCAATTATTCTTATGATATGGCACAAACCCTTCTAGAAAGGACATT